CCCGTCTATCACCAACATAGGCCAATCAGCTAACCAGTATTTTCGCCCCTTCCCAAAATTACTTCAACCGACGGTTTTCAGATGGATATGCGGAGCAAATCCATCTGGCGGAGTCAGGTTAGCTAATCTCTCTGGCAACGATGCGAATTATTACTTAAATTTAATTTTACAAATGTTTACAGTACTGGAAAACATAACTAATTTTTGTTTGACCTCCTGCACTCTATATTACAACACAAAACAGATTTTCATAAATTTTTTAAAAAGCTACAGGACGCTAAAGAGCTGCGTGTGGCTCCGGAGCCGCGAGTTGCCGACCCCTGACCTAGTACAATGATATCATTTAAGTTATTTTAGGTTAAATTATATTATTCCATATCTATGTTTAAATTGACAATATTGGTGATATTTTTTAGATGCAGCCAATAAATAATGTAAATATATATCATAACGTGATAATTTAGGGGAAAATGTGAATGAGGATGCTCGTGGTTTTTAAATCATAATTTTAAAACAATAATTAGAGTAAGAACAGTGAATGAACTAAAAGTCAATTTGAAATTAACTTCAATTCAGATACATTGAGTGATAGCTGAGAGGAACAGGATGACACAATGATAAAATTAAAATAAAAACGTAACGGCTGAAACGTTCCTTTTAGGCTGCTCCAAAATTCTTGATCATTATCAAATATGTCCGTCTGTCAGAGTACAGCAGCTTATAGAGGGATAGAAATCCCTTTACTTCCACAGAGACGGCAATTTACCCTTTAGATACGTTTCAGTTTTGTGTTGTTGGCTCTGCAGCAATCCCTCGTTCTGAGCCCCCATGTAGAGACTAACAGACAGGAGCAGGTGCTCTGAGATTGATGGGATGTTAGTCTGTTGTTGATACCCGGTGTTGCAGGTTACAGCTGGGACATGGTGCGTCTGATGGAGGAGAAATGTGGGCGCCTGCATCATCCCGTCACCTTCCCGGTTCGTGCCGCCCTGCTGCCACAGTCCTTCGCCCAGCTGTCATGGCTGCTGCAGCAGTCGGAGAGGTGACGGCCGGCGCCGCGAGGCACACGTCCAAACACACGCAGGTGGTGAGGAGCGAACCAGGACAGACATGACCTGTCTCTGCTTCACAGGTACAGCCTGACCGTGTGGACGGGCCGACAGGACGAGGTGCCTCTGCAGGACCTGAAGCTCTACAGGAAGCAGCTGGATGGGAGCAGGATGTACTTGGACCTGCCGGACTCTCTGAAAGCAGAACTCTCTGTGGTTTCACTTGAGGCTGAGTAAAGACTTTGTTTTTACCACTAGAGGACAATCAGCGTCGACTGAGGAGTTTAACAGTTAAATCCATCACATATTGTCTTTTTTTATATGGTAGCTGAAGCTGAATGACGATAAAACTCTGTCCTGATGCTGCCTGTTCAAACCAGACCGACTGCAGCCCTTAGAACCTGATATAAAGATGTTATTGTTTAATCTTCAGGTTTTTATGTTTTGGCTTTATAAACAGGATGAAACCCAGACACCAAAGTGTTGGTCCTAAACCTTTCTGCTTTCTCAAAGAAACAGGTTTTCACTGGTGTCAGTGTTCCAGCATGAAGCTGGGAGGAGGAGATTCAGAGGTCAGGTTGCAGTGTTTCCCGCAA